GACTGGGAAGAGCCTGATGCGGATGTGGCTTATGAGCCAGCAGCCTACGTGAATAGGCATGTGAGAAGAGAACCAGCAGCGATAGCTATGACAACACAGGTCACTACAAAGGTGCCCCCATCTTATGATGGAAAGACTTCATGGTTTTCCTATGAGGATGCCATAGACGATTGGTGTGATATCACCGAGCTGGAAGATGAGAAGAGAGGACCAGCATTGAGAAACAGATTAGAAGGAGAAGCAGCTGTATACAAGCGTGTTTTAGACAGAGATGCATTGAAGGCAGATGATCCACCAGGAGCCGGCGTAGAATATTTCAAACGAGTACTACGACCATATTTCGTGAAAGGATCAACCAATGTATTCCTGTATAGGTTCATGCAATTCGTGCGCTTCAATCGAGGATCAGCTGACATGATGAAATGGATGACAAGATTCCAGATTTTACTCCAAAGGCTTATGAGCAGTTGGATGGACATGTTAGAACCAGTCACTCAAGCACATCCACAAGTCCTAGCTCAGATGCAGGCAGATGCAGCGTTGACTGGAGCAGCACCAACGGCAGAAAGGATTCAGGAAATCATGCAGACCATCAATGGCAATATGAGGACTTTTCATCAGAACGAATTTCCTCTAGGAGAAAATCTCATTGCCTTACTCATGCTGTCACTTGCAGATTTGTCTCAGGACCAGCGAAACACTTTAACTTCTTTGATGACTCATCGTGGCAGGGTCCTGCAGCAGTATACTACAACAGAGTGGAGGACAGTGTTCATCGAGATGTTCTGCACGACAAAGACTTCAGTAGACAATCCTTTGATGCAGCCAACAGGTGCTGGAGGTAGAAGATCATTTCTCGTACTAGACGAAGGAGAACTCGATGGTACATTTGGCTATTGGGCCGAAGATGAAGAAGATGGAACAGAAGGATTTTTAGATGCCCTGGACGATGTCTTTTGGGTATATGATGATCAAAACTTCTCGTGGTTCCAAAGGAGATTCCAAGGAAGAAGAGCCAGAAAAGGCAAAGGAAAAGGAAGAAGAAAAGGAAAAGGTAAAGGAAGATCAGGCCGCAGATTCTTCAGACCTCGTGGAAGAGGAAAAGGAAAGAGACGAGGTAAAGGCCATTTTGCTGATGAGCAACAGACAACTTTTCCAGATGAATACTTTGAAGAGAATCCTTATGAGGACACTTGGGAGTCGAACCAAGTAGCATATGATGCCATTCTTGCCGAAGATATGAATGACTATCTTCAAGGAGAATATGATGATGCCAATGACTTTTGGCAACAGCTTGAAGAAGCATGGTTTTCCCACAAAGGAAAAGGAAAAGGCAAGAGAAAAGGCAAGAAAGGAAAAGGAAAAGATAAAGGAGATGGCAAACAAGATGCAAACTATGCAAATCAACAACAGTCACGTTCTTTACCTGCACCTTCAAGAACTTCACAAGCATCAGGAGGTCAACAAGGTTTCTTTGCACATTGTGTGATGGCAGCAGCTGAAGTCCATGACAGTGAGGTGAACTTGCTGTCAGGCATGATGACCTCATGTCAAGATGAAGCTGACTGCGCGGTCAACAATGGTGAGACGATCTTCAATGGCATGAGTGCCCCTGTGAGGTACTCTTTGTCAAAGGAGATGCTCACAAAGGCTCCTGATGGCTTTGCGCTTATGAGCGCTGAGGAAGAAGTGAAGGAGATGCAGGCCATTTCATTTTTGATTGAGAATCGCTTCCCGCCGACTATTGCAATCCTGGACATTGGATGCACTAAAGCTATGGGATCAAGGCGAGCAGTCGACCATTTTTGCAACTATGTCGACAATCACCCAGATTGTGGATTATGGTACTCTTTTGAGGCTACCAAGAGCAAGTTTTACTTTGCCAATTCCCAGAAGGCTACTTGCTCTCAGAAACTGGTGATTTACATGTATGAT